GAATGGGCATCAATACCATGGGATGGCTAGTGAGAATCCGCATACACACATATCTCGATTTCTTGATATGTGTCAACACTTCAGATACCAAGGTATCTCTGATGATGCTATAAGACTGCGCTTGTTCCCGCACACCTTGAGGGATAAAGCACTCGAATGGCTGGATTCACTCCCTGTCGGAAGCATCACCACTTGGAATGAGCTAGCCCACAAGTTCTGCACCAAGTTCTTCTCACCAGCAAAGGTAGCTAAAATGCGGCATGACATCTCAATATTCAACCAGATCGAGTCAGAATCATTTGAAAAGGCATGGAACCTTTTCAAGAACATGTTAAGGAAGTGCCCACAACATGGCTTTGACAAGAAGACTCAGATCATATTTTTCTTCCCTGGATTACTCCCATCATTCAAGAGTATGGTGGATGCATCATCTGACGGCTCTATCTCTACAAGAACAATTGACGGAGCCTGGGAGTTGTTTGAAAGGATGGCTACAACTTCAGTTATGTGGTCTACAGATCGAGTAGTTCAGAAGAGAGCACCTGGGGTGTATGAAGTAGATACTTACTCAGCACTGTCGGCGAAAATAGATTCCTTATTCCATAAGGTTGAAAGCATTTCACAAACCGCCACTGCTAAGCAAGTTATGAAGCAGAGTTGTGAAGAATGTGGAGCAGATCACAGTACTGCTACTTGCCCAATTCTGGCACAAGGAGTAGAACATGCAAAATTCACACAATGGGGTCAGCGCCAGCAGAATAACCCACATTCAGAAACCTTCAATCAAGGCTGGAGAAAACACTCAAATTTCTCTTGGAGCAACCAGAATCAAAATAGACCACAAGGGCAATATCAGCAGCAAGACAAAAAGCCAAATTTGGAGGATATGTTTGAGAAATTTATGGCACACACCAATCAGTACATGGAAGCCAATAACCAATTTATACGAAGGACGGAAACAACGCTTCAAGATCAAAGTGCAGCGATCAAGAACTTGGAGACACAAGTGGGACAGATAGCAATTTCCATAACGGGTAGAGCACCGGGAAACCTACCCAGCAATACTGAAGTTAACCCTAAGGAACATGCAAAGGCTATAACAACCAGAAGTGGAGTACAACTACCAGAACCACATGTAACAAGTTCGGGAGCCAACAAGGAATCAATGCCAACCTTGGAGGAAGAAAGTGTGGAGCAAACTGACA